GTATTGGACATTACATGTATTGGACATTAATTTTACGGTAGTATACCGTTCTTGGAAGTGAAAAAGACTGTATAATTTACAGTGAATAACCGTATATTGACATTCCCAGAATTCCCTGCGTTACATTTCAAATTTGATGTTTTTTTTATGTTTCTTCTTAGTTTTTTCTTGTCAGTTTTGTATATTAGGGTTGTGTGTTACACCTAATGTTGTTATTTTATGTGTGTTACCGTGATGGTGTTTAGTGTTTGTGTGAACGACACTGTGCACCTTCTGTATATGTTATTATTTAAAAGCTGCTTGTGATGGGCTTTGGTTCATCATGTGACTTTCTCATCACCACCTGCATTGGGTGGTTATCAGTGTATTACAAAAGTACAAAACAGATTTCAGTACTTCAATACGGTTGGTATATTAACATTATATCAGTTAATGAAATTACGGTATTTAACTGTAAATCTAAGTTAGAACCGTAAAACCTAAAACGTTGCTACCATATTTTTTACGGTAAAATTCCAGCAACCGGAATTTACGGAATTGTTTTTACAGTGCAGAAATGACAGAAAAGCCTAATGCATTAATATTTCAATATGAGAAAGCAGATGAGATCAGGAAAACAACTTAAATTTGGGTCTGTTCTTCTCTATCAAATTACTTTTTGGGGGGGATCTTGATAGCATCCGTCCCCATTCATTTATTAAATGGAACAATACAGCAATGGACATTCATCCAAACATCTGATTTTGTGTTGCATGGAGAAAAGAAAGTCAAATGCATTCAGAACGACATGAGGGTTAGTGAGTATTGACAGAAATTTTGGGTGAGCCTTTGAGGTGGTCAAACTGGTTTTTGCAACATTGTAGCTGTTTTTTGAAGGTCTACTAGGTCTAACCAAAATGAGCAAGATGGTCTACCTCTAGCAGATCAAAAACTGGCTAGCGGTTTAGCTGATCTAGACCAGCTTGAACCAACTAATGACCATAAACGACCAGATTCAAGTAACCAAGAAAAACCAGCTTGGGATTTGTCTTCGATGTGAAAGCCATCACTTCTACCATATACAGTGGGGCAAAAAAGTATTTAGTCAGCCACCAATTGTATTCTCCTGCTCGCACTTCTGATCATGTGTCTGATAAGAGTCAGCAGATATACTGAAAAATGCCATGCAACCCCACTTTCTCCTCTTAAACCTTATGACTTCTTTATGAACCCTCAGGAAGTGACTTCATAAGCCAGCCTGAATGAAAATAGCCTTGTGAAGAAAAATCATGTTCTGTTCTGTATGACAGAAGATGCTTAACTCAAACTGTACTGCATGTCATTTATCTGCAGAGTCACTGGAGAAGTTGCTGCATTTAATTAATCAGTCCTGATTGAACACGGTTTCTCTGTTAATTCTTCAGGACCGGGATATGTTGGCTCATACACTCTTAAAAATAAAGGTGCTTCAAAAGGTTCTTCAAGCGATGCCATAGAAGAACCATTTTTGGGTCCACAAAGAAGCATTCAGTCAAAGGTTCTTTAAAGAACCATCTCTTTCTTACCTTTTTATAATCTGAAGAACCTTCTTTCACCACAAAGAACCTTTTGTGAAACAGAAAGGTTCTTCAGATGTTAAAGGTTCTTTATGGAACCATTTAGACAAAAAGGTTCTTCTATGGCATCGTGAAGCACCTTTATTTTTAAGAGTGTATCAGTGTAGATCACCCAAGGAAGCCCCTCCTGAGGGTGTAATCTGAAGCCGCTGTTGTATCGCATACACTGCAAGTCATTGCAGTCCTCGACACGCGTTTCTCGCGCGTTCATCATGTTTTCAGCTCGTCTTGAAATGTCGCAATGCTTGAGGATAAGAAACCGCTAGCGCGCGGGGTTCTTGGAAGTCAGTGTTTGCGACAGCTTCCTGGTTCTCGTGTGAAACAGCTGTTTGACACCATCTGCGAGACGCGAGCTGTCGGGACGCGACGCGAGGGGGTTTGTTTCGCTACAGCTCCTTTTTTGGACGCACGCAGAACGCGTCTTCCGCCCGTGCGAGCCGATGTGTGTCCGTGGGTGACCGTGCGCGGATATCATCATGTGGCAGAGCGCATGCCGCTCGGGCTGGACGCGGGCGCGATGTCAGGACAGCGGGGTCGATCCCGAGCGCGAGCGGCTCTGGGCCGAGCTCTTCGAGCAGCTGGATCTGAACAAGAACGGACTGATCGATGTCAACGAGCTGCGGATCGGACTCGCCGCCCGGGGGCTGTCGTGGAGCTCGGTGGAGGAGGTACGGAAGAAACCCAATGCATGCAGTCATAACGGAAGGTTATTTATAGTGCAGGATAACTGTGCATGCATTCACAGGTTTATGACACTTTAATATCAGATGTGGAGGTAATAACCTTCAGCTCCAAGTCACGTGATCATCTGAACACTGAAAGCGAAAATGCTGCAGTACGCGATACAGTCGCAGCCAATCAGATTGTGTCTAATGCTTAATATTCAATAACGCAGAGTGCGATTCGGACCAATGAGATTTCGCAGTGGGCGTGGCTACCCATCGCAAATCATGTACTGTACATAGTGTACTTACACTACTGTTCAACGCAGAATGAAGCTATTTCCTGTGAATGTGCGAGACTTCCGGTTCATTAGCCAACCACAAGAGCACCACAGTGCAGTAAGAGGTATTTGCACAACAAACCAGTTATGGTAAAAAAAATAGCTAATGTGATAGCAAATACAGCTTGACGGAGTGTTTTTGTGCAGATAAAATTACTGGAAGCGACTTGCACCGAAAGCCTCGCACATTTAAGTTTGTACGTAAAAAATAAGGTGGATAGACTACGCTAATGGTGCGTTCAAGTCATGTTGATTTGTTGAGTTGAGTTGAGTTGAACGCACATGAACGCCACCACAAAGTCGTTATTATGAGTGGGAAACTCTAAATTTTCTTTAAGCACCGAGTTTCTGAGTTGGGGTCAATGAGAAACATGGCGGAATCGATGAATGCAACGTCTGTAGTTGACCGTAAATTTTTGTTTAAATTGATAGTTTAGTTGTCCTATAAACTTAAATTGGTCATGTTCTTGTTACGCAGCTGGTTAAAGAAATCCAAGTAAAAAAATTCTAGAATTTTTGCACCTACAGGTGAAAAATCTTTTGATTTGCCATGTTGCATGTTTTAAAAATATTAAAAACGCAAAACACACCTGATGCGAGTTCTTTGCTCTTCATTTTCTATAAGCAGAGTTAACAGACCCTGTTGTATTTTCTTGTAATTTATTAAAAGAAGGTACACCGCCATCTTGTGCCGACTAAACTGACTTGAACACACCTGACGTCGTAATTACGACTTGTCAACTCGTAAGTACGAACGTCCCAGGAGGACTTGAACGCAGCATCAGTACATAGTGTATACATTAGTGTCATCTTAAATGAAACAATTCATATAGATTTTAATGAAAGGATATTACATTTCCAGTGCACTTGATGTGTAAACGCTTGTAGTGCACTATTACACTACAAAAATGGCGTAGAATAGTGCAGAAGTACACAAAAATGGGATGAACCTGTAGAAACCAAAATATTTCATATATGATTATGTAAACAGGATTGCAGACCGCTGAGATTTCACTGTGGATAGACTGGTTGGGATGGAGCCTGATGTATGTTCAGCTCAGATTAGACAGATGTTAGTCCATTAGTGAAAGTATAACGCATTACATAGCTGCTTACTCGCTAGCACACTCATAATGCTTCATATGATAAAAGTACAACTACACAGCAGGATTCTAGTTTCGAAGGCCTCCATGTCGTGGTCAGGAACAGGGCAGATTAGAGTACTGTTGCAGCACTAATGAAGCAGTTTATGAGCTTAATAGTTAATAATCTCAAGGTCAATGGCAGGAACAGAGGAAGGGCATCATCACCCGCTGGCACTGAATCAACATCACCGGGTCTCCACCTGCCACCTGAAATAAAGGTTTCCTGCAGACTAGCGTGTTTGCTAAATCAAGCATCATTATTTTTTGTGCATACTTTGGTCTAGTGATTTGAACAAACTCCTTACGCCAAATTCTACTTTTCTAATCGATAAATTGCTCGCTAGAGACGTTACAGTGATGTAATGCCAGCAGATCAAACCCAAGGCCTAGGAAACAATGAGAAACCAGTCCAAGTTATGATCAACCAGACACACAAAGATATTAAATGAATCTTTGTTATCTAATCTCTCCACGGCATGCTGCAAGCTGTTTATCAGCATTGGGGAAGTTACTTTTAAGTGTAATGCATTACAGTAACTATGTTACTTTTTTATGGAAAGTAATGCATTAAATTACTTTTGCGTTACTTTTTGTCGCCTGGGCTGGGCATGCATATTTATTTTTAATAACAAAAAACCCAAAGGTTATATATTTAGCAACTGTAAAGTCCCTTTCACACCAAAAGTGAAATTAACAAGCCTCGGGCCTCTGTCTCTGCACCTCACTCACGATTTCTCTCAACACATGTGTCAGTGAATAAATGGGAAAACAAAGTAGCTTGCATTACTTATTTGAAAAGTAACTCAGATATAGATAATGCACTACTTTATTAGTTACTTGAAAAAGTAATCTGATTAGGTTACTTGTAATGCATTACCCTCAACACTGCTGTTTATATACCAGCATACTGAATACATAGTTTATAGTTTAGCACGTGACTAGACTATTGATCTGCTTGCCTGGGACAATCTTGAGTCATATTGATTTTTGAAACTTGATTTTGTAGTGTGCTGTGTTTTTTGAGGTTTGAAATCATGTGTGCATGTGTTTATGTATTTGCATTATGCATTATGATGAATGATATTGGCAAGAAAGTACTAAACTTCACACATAGGCTCACAGAAACACATGTAGGCTGCACACTGTGCAAAAGGTCAGCGACTTGGAGTCGATCCATGTGAGAGTAAATGTCATGTGACTGCTGGCTCACATTAATAAACACAGCAACACACACATGGGTGTTTTGTAGACGTCTGCCCACAGAGGAGGACAAGCTAGTTAAATGAGTGAAATTACTGGCATAGCTACAGCGTGATTTGCCCTACAGCACTCCAAGTATTGTGGGAATGATGGTCTGGTTTGAATGAGTTTCTCAGTGCAGCACTTTGTGTGGATTTAAAGTGACAGTAGCATGTGTGTCGTGATTAATTTGAAAAATGTTCTGAATTTAACGGTTTACTCTGATGATATTTTAGTCACTGTGAATCAGTTTTTTCCCCTTCATAATTTCCTCACCATAAAACACCAGAATGTACAATGTAGCTGATTGTAAAACCCTGAGACCTGCAGCGAAATGCCTCTAATCCTTATGTTTGCGCAGCTCGGTACAAACACGTTCAGACATGCTGCACTGAGAATCGTGGGGCGACACCCTGAAAAAAAAAAACTTTTGTTGATACTTACACGTGATTAATCTTGTAAATCTGGACACAGTTTTTATACCCAGATGCATGTTTAATTGCACAGCTCTCTCAAAGTACAGGAATTCTGGATAGAGTCACATCAGAGAGATTTAAAGGGGTCATATGATGCTTTTTTTAAAGATCATTATTTTGCGCGCACACACGCACACACTTACTTAAACTAATAACAAAACAGTAGCTGATTCAGAAGCGCCAGATTGTCATAGCAAAGTCAGAATTACCTCCGCTCCTAGGTTCACAAAACGGTCGTCCATAAAATGCATTGCTGTTCTGTTGTAAGTGATCTTAAAGATTCCTAAATGCATCTACTTCCGGAAGGCCAAATAAAGTGCTTTTGCTTTCGCCTAGAAACACACAGCGTCTCCCTGACATGCTGCTTCAACACTAACTGCGGTTACTGAAACCACGCCTTCTTTCTTTGCGTGCACATTTGGGCGCATTATGCTAATATTTCCACATAGTGAGGTAGATATGTGGGGGCGTGTTAGAACGAGCCGTTTTAGGAGGAGCGTAAAAGAGTCTTAACTTTGATAAAGAATATCTCTTTGGTTTTGAGACTTTAGTCTTTGTAACTTCAGGGATCTTATCTATGCACAATCAGCTTGTAACACTCCAAAGAGAAAGGAAAACTTGAAATCACATCATATGACCCCTTTAAACATCATTTATTTAGCCCGTTTATCTAGCAATTATGTGGATTTAAACACTAATATAGTCATTAAGTGTATATAAATGAATTAAACGCATTGTAAAGCTACTGTTTTGTGCACTTGGCTTTCTCTGCTGCTTTCGTTTGTTAATTTACCTTCATTTTGTCAATGCATTTAATTAGAATGAAATTAACCTGTGTTTGATTCAGTGATAATGTCTGACTGCTCATGTGTGATGTTGGTGCTTTGGGCTGGTGGCTTTTGCATGGTTTTAATGTGCTTTTCTCCTTCATTTGCACCCCATCCCACCTTTCCTAATGATTCCCGGCACCCCTCTTTCCCTTCATTTCTCTCCCACCCCCCTCTATCTCTCTGTAAATGCCCTATATTCAGCAGATTGTACGAGCTGGAGATGTTAATCACGATGGTCAGCTGGATTTTGAAGAGTTCACCGAGTATCTGCGTTCACATGAGAAACGCCTTAAACTCATGTTTCGCAGCTTGGACCGCAACAATGACGGTTAGTTTCTATCAACTTCACTTTATCATCAGAATCAGTGTTATTTTACTGTATATTCTATTACAGCCCTGTTGAAAAAACCAGCATATGCTGGTTAGGTATGTTTTGACGCTGGGATGCTGGTTTATACTGGTCCTTTGCTGGTTTAAGCTGGTCCTTTGCTGGTTTATGCTGGTCCTTTGCTGGTTTATGCTGGTCCTTTGCTGGTTTAAGCTGGTCCTTTGCTGGTTTAAGCTGGTCATTTGCTGGTTTATGCTGGTCCTTTGCTGGGGTCCTTTGCTGGTTTAAGCTGGTCCTTTGCTGGTTTATGCTGGTCCTTTGCTGGTTTATGCTGGTCCTTTGCTGGTTTATGCTGGTCCTTTGCTGGTTTAAGCTGGTCCTTTGCTGGTTTAAGCTGGTCATTTGCTGGTTTATGCTGGTCCTTTGCTGGTTTATGCTGGTCCTTTGCTGGTTTATGCTGGTCCTTTGCTGGTTTATGCTGGTCCTTTGCTGGTTAGGACCAGCATAAACCAGCAAAGGACCAGCTTAAACCAGCATCCCAGCGTCAAAACATACCTTTTTTCAACAGGGAGTATGTATTCATATTTCAAAGTAGCTTTAAATTTGTTAGTTTTTTAAAATATATTTTAAGTTTTCGTTATAATTTTACTTTAGGCTTCATTTCAGTTAACTACAATGATTTTTAATAGTTTTCGATTTAGTTAACAAAAACAACACTGGTCTTAATTCACTGTTAGAATATACAACATCATTTTTATATTCTCGTTTTACTTGGACTTTAGGTTAGAAATATATATTTGCCATCTGTAACCTCACAATAACCCTAAAATCTATACCATTACATAACATCTATAACCTCATATTAGCATTAGCATGTGGGATTTTACATCACTGTTATCATCTATAACCTCACAGCATCATTAGCAGCTGTTGTATTGTTGTTAGCATCTGTGCCCTCATTTTAGCATTAGTGCCTAAACACAACATCTACAACATAATTTTAGCATCAGCCAAGTATTATATTGCTGTTAGCACTTTAATTAGCATATATACCCTTACATTAGCATTAGCATCTATTCCATTAATTCTATTATCTCACAATATTGTTAGTTTATCCTTCATTTCAGTACAATAGAGCATTGTTTGTATGTTTTGTAGGTCAGTTGGACGTCGGGGAGATCCAGCAGTCGTTACACAATCTCGGCGTGGACGTCACGTTGGAACAGGCTGCCAAAATACTGCAAAGGTGAATAAATAAGCTTTCCATTGATGTATGGTTTGTTAGGATAGGACAACATTTGGACGAGATACAACTATTTGAAAATCTGGAATCTGAGGGTGCAAAAAAATCTAAATATTGAGAAAATCATCTTTAAAGTTGTCCAAATGAAGTTCTTAGCAATGCATATTACTAATCAAAAATTAAGTTTTGATATATTTACAGTAGGACATTTACAAAATATCTTCATGGAACCTGATCTTTACTTAATATCCTAATGATTTTTGGCATAAAATAAGAATCTATAATTTTGACCCATACAATGTATTGTTGGCTATTGCTGCAAATATACCCCAGCGACTTAACACTGCTTTTGTGCTCCAGGGTCACATATAGCCTCTTGGGCTATAAAGGTAATAATCTTGAAGACCAGTAATATTTTTCGGTTCTTGACAGGTTTGAGGATTGTCGCCCATTAAAGCTGCAGGGTCATAAATGTGCAAAGTGCTTTTCAGGTGTGATTCAGTTGTGACACGCAGTACTTGTGAAATGTGTTGCTACAGTATGGATAAAGACCATTCCATGACCATCGACTGGTTCGAGTGGCGAGATCACTTCCTGTTTAACCCTCTGCACAACATGGAGGAAATCGCTCAGTACTGGAAACACTCGGTGGTACGAAGCAAAAGAGTTTTGTATGACTATAGAATGAGCCTCTTTCTTTCTGTAAGTCTATTATTGTGTGTTTGTGTAGATGTTGGACATCGGGGAGCTTCTGACGGTCCCAGACGAGTTCTCGGAGAAGGAGAAGCAGTCAGGGTTCGTGTGGCGGCAGCTGATGGCAGGAGCCGTGGCGGGATCGGTGTCCAGGACAGGAACCGCGCCGCTCGACAGACTCAAGGTCTTTCTGCAGGTGAGACTGCGCTGGTCTGAAAGCAGTCACTTTTGGTCTCCAAACAGCGGAAGCATCTGATCTTTGATGCTCATTTAATGCCAGTTTCCCGTTTAGAGGTTCCTGTTGAGGTTTCAAAGTTGCTCTCAATGCAATCTAGAAAAAGCTGTGGCTTGTGTGTACAAGGATAATAGGAATTATTGCACTGTTAGGTATTATAAAATGAAAGGCATCTAACTAACTAAAAATATCCATGATAATATATTTTATAATATATAATCTTTTTATTTTTTTTATTTTTATTTTATTTTATTATTTAAATTGTATTCCTATTTTTAATTAGTTTTAATTTCATTTAATTAAATTTTTTTGTAGTGGTTTTTATAAATTATTATTTCAGTTTTAGTTTTTTTAGTGTATCAAGTTACACTAAAATAAAAAATAAAATAAAATGAGAACTGCTGCTTTGGCAACTAGATGAAATAAAATAAGTTTAAATTATTTTTTATTTGTTTCAGTTAATGTTTATTTTATTTCACTTAACATAACAAAACATTTAATGGTTTTAGATTTATTTGACTAGTTAACTAGTTTATTAAAGTTAAAAAAAACTAAAATAACCCTGAACCAAACCATCCAGCTACAATGTGAATTATTACAAACTTTGATTTGACGCAAAAAGTATTTGAAAATCGGACAAAAGGAAAAAGGTACTATGTATTTAACAGCGTTAATGAAGTAAAAAACAACATTCCTGTAAAGCATTGTGAATGACAGGAGAAATATAAAACTATCGATTTAAAGATGCTGATTAATATCAAATAAAAATTTAGTTAGAGCGCAGTGTTCTCTCTCTGATTGGTGGACAGTCTGTGCAGAATTATGGGTAATGTAGTTTTTCACCACTGTTGAACATGATTATTTAAAAAATAAGTTGCTTTTGTTGAAGCTTCAATAAATGCATAAACCATCATTTAACAACCTTGGAGCTCACAGTAGGTCTGTCTTTAAAGGTTTACAATTTACCATTAAAAATCAATTCCTTTATGGAGAAAATGAATGACATTTTTACTTCCAGAACCCAACTGTTGCACTCTATATTTTCAGCACCACACTGATCTCTGGAGGTCATATGAGACACTGCAACTGAACTTTTGTTTTTAGTTATTATGTCTAGGTGTGTTCTGTTTTATAACTGAAGCATTACATTAAAGATCATGTGAATTACGTGCTGATGTTCAGGTGCACGGCCAGAGCTCTGATAAGGGGAACGTGTGGCGTGGTCTGCATGCGATGGTGAAGGAGGGCGGCCTCACTGCGCTGTGGAGGGGGAACGGCATCAACGTGCTAAAGATTGCTCCAGAAACCGCCATCAAATTCCTGGCCTATGAACAGGTACAGCTCTGTCTTTTACACTCTGCCGTGTGGACGGCAACTCAAAGCTCAGCCTGCATCTGTGTGTCTGCAGATTAAGTGCTTGATGAGAGGCAGTAAAGAGGCAGGAACTCTGAAAGTTCAGGAGAGATTCGTCGCTGGATCTCTGGCTGGAGCGACGGCTCAAACTGTCATATATCCTATGGAGGTAAATACACATTCAACACACGACAGCGGGTTTATGCACACACTGAACGTCTAGGTCACTGTATGTATGTGGAGGCCTGGCTGTCATAACACACATACACACACACTCACACTCACTCACTCACTCACTCACTCACACACACGCACACACACACACACTCACACACACACACTCACTCACTCACTCACTCACTCACACACACACACACTCACACTCACACACACATACACTCACACAACAGCGGGTTTATGCACACACTGAACGTCAAGGTCACTGTATGTATGTGGAGGCCTGGCTGTCATAACACACATACACACACACTCACACTCACTCACTCGCACACACGCACACACACACACACTCACACACACACACTCACTCACTCACTCTCACACACACACTCTCACACACACACCCTCACACACACACACACACACACTCACTCTCTCACTCACACACACACACACACTCACACTCACTCACTCGCACACACGCACACACACACACACTCACACACTCGCACACACACACACACACACACTCACTCTCTCACTCACACACACACACACACTCACACTCACTCACTCGCACACACGCACACACACACACACTCACACACTCGCACACACACACACACACACACTCACTCTCTCACTCACACACACACACACACTCACACTCACTCACTCGCACACACGCACACACACACACACTCACACACTCGCACACACACACACACACACACTCACTCTCTCACTCACACACACACACACACTCACACTCACTCACTCGCACACACGCACACACACACACACTCACACACTCGCACACACACACACACACACACTCACTCTCTCACTCACACACACACACACACTCACACACACACACACTCTCACACACACACACACACATACACGCACGCACACGTCCACTCACATTACCAAAGGCCTCACGTAAAGTTCAAGAAAGTGCTCTGCATTCAGCGGCCCATTTAAGAATAAAGCAGTGAGCCGTGAATGGCTGTAGTTAATGGAGTGTGAAGTCTTTGAAATAGACTTAAGTAAAATAAAGCCTTTTTTTAAATGTTGGCATTAGCAATGTTATAAAAAATATACATATCTTCAATAAATAATCACATTAATAAATATAATCACTATTAATTAAAATAGATTTTAAAATTGTTTATATAATATATTAATTAGTTCAAAATATCAATTTGATATGTAAGTTGGTGTCTGTAATCTTTTAATGTTTTTGTAAGAAGTCTCTTCTGCTCACCACGGCTTGCTTTATTCGGTCAAAAATACAGTAAAATTGTGAAATATTTTTACAATTTAAAATAACTGTTTTCTATTTAAATATATTTTAAAATATAATTTATTTACTATAATTTATAATTATATTTATTTATTTATAATTTCTGTGATGCAAAGCTGAATTTCCAGCATCATTACTCCAGTTTTCAGTGTCACATGATTCTTCAGAAATCGTTCTAATATGCTGATTTGTTGCTCAAGAAACATTTATTATTATTATTGTTATCAGTGTTGAAAACAGTTGTGCTGCTTCATATTTTTGTGGGAACGGTAATTGTTTTCATGACTCTGCATTGATTTCCTCACTCCATCCCTGTCTGCTTCTCTCGTTCTGTAGGTGCTGAAGACTCGTCTTACTCTTCGTAAAACAGGCCAGTATTCGAGTGTGGCGGACTGCGCTAAGCAGATCCTGCAGAAGGAGGGCGTTCTGGCGTTTTATAAAGGATACCTGCCCAACATGCTGGGCATCGTCCCGTATGCGGGCATAGACCTCGCCGTCTACGAGGTGTGTGTGTGTGTGAGTGTGTGTGTGTGTGTGTGTGTGTGTGTGTGTGTG